ATTTGGAGCGGAATACCGCAAGAAGTCGTGGGGGTAAAGGAGCGTGTTGACTGGTTGTTGAGTAGACCTCTACCAGAAGGAGCGATAATAACGGCACTAAGAGAGCGTTTGATGAGCGGCTGGGACCATACGCGTCTGACTGTCTTGCCAGAGGAGTACCCATCAGATGGGAAGCAACCGGGAGTGCAAATGGCGAAGTATAAGCACTGGATGGGGCTGCCCTTTTCGGGAGCCGCAGCCGTCATGTGGCCAACACATGCTAAGGTTTTCATTCCTCGTTTAGCACATCGTAAGCTAATGCAGTTTCGTTTATGTTGCTGGGCTTTGGAGGCGAACAGAGCACGAAGGGGCAAGTACCATGTCCCCAGGGGGCAGCGGTTTTGCCACTGTTGTGGTCCTAATAGCCGAATTGAGGATGAAAAACACGTGTTATTGGAATGCCCAGCCTATAATGATATTCGTGCTGAAGAGGGATTCGATCATCAACAGAGTATGTTGGAGGCCATGCAATGGGAACCCGCACGTCTGGCGAGGATGTTGGAACGTATGTGGGCTCACCGAAACTCAATTACCCCCTTTGGACGTTAGTCTGGGCTGATGTGCGGTGTTTTTTCCTTTTTCTCCGTGGCTTTTAGGCGTTGTAGTATTGCCCTTGGGCCCTCGGCTCGTATGGGTAGTCTTACAGGTATGGGGTCACGCACCCCCAACCATGTAACACACACACACACTTGTACCTACTACTTTCAAAACGAAACATAATTCATCAAAGTTTTCGATAGCCCGGCGGAGCATTCGTGCCATGGTACGTTTAGGGCGCTGTTTCAGCAAAAGCAGCAGCCATGGCCTTCGGCGCCGGACACAGAGCTCGGATGAGCGAGATCACGGCTTCTATCGTGCCAGTGCCAATAGGAGAGGAGCTGCTCCTCGCCGAAAGTGTGGATTGTCAAGCCATGCATGCTTTCGCAAAAGCATAACCTAACCAAAGAAATATTCGTATGTAACTTCCGCAGCGCATAATCCTGTTAGGAATTGTATTGGGGTCTTGTGCCATGGTCCGTGGTTTGCGGTGGGCATTAACATGCTGCCGACCTGCGCTTGCCTGCACTGGCATCCCATGCGTGCACACATGAAAAGTCTATGTTGATGCCATCGTGTGGCTTTTGTGGTAGCTGTTTTGTGAACGAAATGACCTGACGGACGTAACGCTTAAATTAATTGCTTAAGTTAATTGCGAGTGGCGTATCCCGCAAAGGTTACGGTTCATCCGGAATGCATTCATATGACTACTGTCAGAGGAGAAGATGGAGCGAGTTTGGGCTTGTTTAGCAGGGCACCTCTTGAATGTGATGCTCGACATTTGGCCAAGGCGGTTAGATAGTGATGGGCGAGCTCCGCGACGGCCGAAGTTCACATTTTTCGCGAACGCATATCAGTGCGATATGTCAGGCGTTTAGTCCGAAATATTTCTTGCGCGTTTTGGTCCCGTCATCCTGATGATACACTCGCTTGCTGTTGCCTGCCCACAGACACAATGCCGATGGAACCGCCGGACACAAAGGACGGAATTAAGTCGGTCGGTGCAGTCCCCGGTGCTGGAAAACCAGTGATATGCCTCCGAATGCTTGTGATGATGATGCTTTCCATCTGCCCAAAACGGGAAATGGGAGGCAGGGATGTTACACATGGGGAGGGTAGCAGGTAGATCCATGCGGGGTAATTCATTCATATGATGTGTGAAACAGGGGGGTGTATCTTCGCCCATGGCAGCTACCCTGCGAAACCCTGCCTTCCCCGGTATTTCGGGGCACCCTCATCTAGTCACCCTAATCAACTTCTCAGTGGATCGCTCAGGTTCCGCATCCACCACCAGCATCCAACGGAATCTGTCGGGTCGACAGCGGCCCATTCCTGGTCGGCTTGCAGGTTAACTTTATCCCAGTTCACCACCATCATCAACTAGGGGCGCAATGCCTTCTACCATTGGAAAGTCTTTGACCCTAATGGGTATCGATCCCGGAACCTCCCGGGGGCAATGGTCGCGCCTTACCAGTGGTGCCAAACCTTAGACAATATTCATATATTGGTAGTGCCTTGGTAGTGCATGCCTTTCTTGAGGGATTTCAGCATCAAAATGCGTACTGGAAGGCGGGTTATGAAGCAGGGCATGGACAAGTTGTTTTTCCTTTCCGTTGCTGATGATAGAATACACAGTTGTGTGAGAATCCTTACGGTCGCAATTTAGTGCGTTAGTTTGCTGGTTGGAATTGGGTATGAGCCGTTGTAAGAGCCATGGGTAGTGCCGCTCTGAGTAGTTGGATACGGCAACTGACAACTGAGTCTGTAGTCAAATTGAGGTTTCCCATTTCGTATTCAGTGATGCTCGAGGAAACAGTTTACCAAACGGCGTTCCTGGTATTCAAAACTGTGTCCAGACATTAGCCCCCCGCTGCTGTGCACTAGCTCACAGTAGAGGGACCATACACGTGGTCATATCCTGAAATGATCTCATGAGGAGGGATCTAAGGTGGTACTTACAACTGTGGGAGAAGAGAAATTTGCATTCCTGCCCACAAATGCGCATACCTCCACTATCTTTGTAAACTCACAGCAACTCTCCATGGCCCCCTGGGGCTCTGCCCTGTCACTAGACACTAAAAATGTATATACCGTACCGCATTACATGCAGTACATGTGTATTACATTTGGGACTCTTTCTGTGCAGCGGTGCAGCCGGCTATGTATATTTCATGTAGGGCTATTGTGCCCTGTGGGATACAAAACACACCTTGCCCTCCGTGAGGGATCACCCCCACCCACCCGTGCAGATTACCCCCGCCTCCCGCCGTCAACGATAGGACGTGTTCGGATTTTGTCCATGATGTGGTCTATATGAATCGGGACGGTGATGTCTCGGGGCATGCAAAAAAGCTCATCCCCAGGATATGGAAGGCGGTGTGATACAAATAGCAGTAGCCCCTCACCCATAAACCTCATCTTATCAACGCCCTCCAAGCATCCTTCAGCACTCCACCACATATCCCTCCCAAAATCCTTCCATCCTCTCCCCCCTAACTCTCCCTGTACCTGCCCCACCCCTTTCCCATCCTTCCATCCACTCTCCACCCTCCTCCCTCAACGCTTCCACATCCCTACCCCGCCCCTCTCCCCATCCTCCCTCTCTTGTCCCAAACCCCCAATTTCCCCCCAGCGGCATCCCCTCCAGCCCCACCCCCCACTTCCACCTAAGCCCCCCCAGCCCACACCCAACCCAGCCTAGCCACATCCCATGCCCCACCTGCACCCCCAAACCCCTCTGGCCCCAGCGTCCATTCCCCGTTTCTGCTCAGTCTTCTCCCATGTCCACTCGCAGCATAGCTAAGGCGGGGACTTTTGATGCTGCAACACAGGAACCATGGCAGTAGGGTTTATGCATTGTTCAGCCTCTCATGCATTCGAAAAAAATAGCAGTCACATGAACGCACAGGAGGATGCCCTTTCTACACGCAAAGAAATGAACGAGGGGAAGAAGGGGAACCCCTTCGTCATCCCAGCATACATGCTGCCTTGCCTAATGTGTGGGTATGACATGTACAATAGCCACACACTCTATACCTTCTGTGCAATCCTACAGATTGGAAGGCAAACTGATTTGGCGTCGACTATGCATGCTATGTGGTGCAGCAGATCCTGTCGTAGATTGCTGCTGTCTCCATACCTGTATCGCCTTAAATGTAGGTGCCTTCCACTTCCTCTTGTTTGCAACGCTGTCATGCCCCGATTCAGATTGCTCCGTCACTAGCTTGGAGATTAAGGAGATCATCCTCAGCACCTGTGGACAGGCCATTCGACAGAAGGAATCGAGCCCCGGTGTGACAGGACCTGTCCTTTCAAATATATGACAACTTTACTTCAGATGTGGCCAGTGAGGCCCACAAACGTGCAGCTCTGTACTTGCCGCAAACATTTTGGCAGGCTCTTACCATGCTTGAGGATCATTCGGCATGTTGCTGGCCAACTGTCTACAAGTATGGTATGTGTCCATGTGGGTTTGTGTACCGTGGGGATGCAAAGGCCTTGACGTGCCCCGCTTGTGTGCCTGGCACATCCAAGCTATGTGGCAAAGCACACGAAACACACCAGAAGACATTCCTGTACAGCTCCATCATCCAGTATTTGCAACGTATCTACAGCAACAGCACAACTGCCGCAGAGTATGGTGACTGGCTCAACCGACTCGAGCAGAATGCTGTAGCAGACCCTCATGGCCTATATGATATTGGACATGGCAAGGCTGTCCAAGCTGTCCTACAGAATGATCCACGATTTAAGCAGGAACCACGTAACGTCATCGTTGTGCTCATAACAGACCCCTTCATTGTAAGTGCCTTGGATGGGGGGGCAGGATGGGGGGCACAAGCAAGCCAGAGTATGAGAAGTCAGGGAGCGCGAAAATGATGCTATAACTGCTATGAAAATCATCCTAAGGATGGCCATGTGAATGCGGAACTTTTTGTCAAAAATTCCCATTTTTAAATACACGTATCATGCTGCAACCAATGCTGTCCACTGCTGAAATGGGTCTACATGAAATACAGGTGCCTGTTGATGAATCAGAGCGCTCCAGTACACCCTGGTTGCTGGTGGCAGTGAACACCCCTGTGTCAAAACGTCACAAGCTTGAATACACATCCGTGCTTGGCATTGTGGGAGGCAACATGAAGCCCCCTGGTGCCAAGAAGGGTGTCCCTATGGATCCAAATCATGTCTTGGTGCTCATAAAGGATGAAGTAGCCTTCCTTGAGGAGGTTGGAGTGGAGGTTCCCGACACATCACGGGATGGTGACATGTTTCGTTGCCATGTGACATTAGTGGGAGTTGTTTCAGACTACCGTGGCCTCAAAGGCATCTGGGCATCAAGGCCTCA